GGGAACCAAAAGGTACCGATACCGCTGCTCCCTGGGCCTCTCCTGGGGTGCGTTCTGACCAGGACTCCGAGGCGAATCCGGCGGTGGCAGCGAGGGCCGCCCAGGAGGCCCAGAAAGGGGAACACGAGGGAAGGGTAGAGGTAGGGGCTCCGTTTCCTCCTCCGAGCCCCACCGCCCGCAGCTCGGCGGGCTCTCGGCCCCCACCAGGCGCACCCGGCCAGCGCGAGCGCCGCGCCGAGGACGCCCGCGCGCTGCAGGAGCCGCGCGGCAGGAGCCTGCGCGGCGCCAGCGGGCGCAGCGCGCCCCCACGGGGCCAGCGCCTGCGGGGAGGAGGAGGAGGAGGAGGAGGAGGAGGAGGAGGAGGAGGAGGAGGAGGAGGAGGGCCAGAGGCGCAGCGGGCCCTGGCTGCGGCAGGCCTGGGCCGCGACGACCCAGGCGTCGGCGTCTGACGCCGCGTCGCCGCGTGGGGTGTGCACCCCTGCACGGCCACGGCTCTTCGACCGTGCAGGTCGTTCCAGGTTTTGGGCAGGCTCTTCGAGCCATCGGCGGCGTTCAATGCCTCCTTGAGCGCCCGCGGCGGGGTTGCCACCACGTCGACGCTCCTCCCAGCCCGCCAGCGCCACGATTTCATCACAACGTCGACCTCCATAGGTCTCGAGCCACTCCCCAGGACCAAATTTGCGTTCGTGGATACTTGTTTGACGGTCCCGATGCCCAGCGAGGACTCCCAGAAGCCGAAAGCAGCAACAAAAACCGCCCGTCGCATTTGTTTTGGATCGCGACGCGAGAAGGTCTGGGTTGGTCGCAACCACGGCAGATCTACCACGCCGCAGCACTTCAGCCTTGAACGCCACGGCGTGGTGGGCCTACGGCCTACCCCAGGGCTCTGGCCAGGGTCGGCCATTCACCGTGAGCCGTCTCGGCGTTTCGGCATTGGGCGGAAAGGGGGGGAGGGGCTCCAGACCTCTGCTTAGTGCGACTGTTCGGAGCAATGCTTCCAGGGGGAATCCTGTGGGGAGCCGCCAACCTGCTTGGAACAGGCGCCAAGAACAGCCAAGATCTACTCCAGGGGGGGGGCGAGGGCCCGCGGCGATCGGCAAAACAATGAGTCAGACAACGATCACCTTGACAGCCCTCTCAGGGCGAATCGACGGCCGGCGAAAGGCGAAAGCCTTGAGGATTCGGATGTTCCAACATTTTAGCCTTGACCACCAGAAAGAATTTCGAGCACCAAACAAATACTGAAACTCGAGGGTTTTCACGTGTCGGGCCCTGGGAGACACTCGTCCGACACTGTTTTGACCCTATTTTGATACTCTTTCGACACTTTTCTGGGTGCTCGAAATTACTTCTGGGATGTGGTCCTAAGTACGATAGGGACAACATATCGGGAGCGGCCAAGAGGGGGGTGTCCAAGAGGGGGGGGTGCAAATCGTGCTCGGCGGCATGTGCGCGGCCCAGCGGGGGGGGGCCAGGGACGCACTGAAAACAGGAAGAAGCGCCATGAAATCTGGGGAACTATCATGGCCCCCGCCATGATATCCACCCCCCCTAGTCATCCCCCCCCCTCTTTCCCTTTGGACGCCCGAAATGGGTACCGAAAAAATGGGCACAATGCCCAACAGCAAATGTTGTCCCGAACCAACAGCGGCCGCTGTTGGGCGGGCGACCTCCTGTCTCGAATGGACACAGGCCGCGGCGGCGTGGACAGCGAGCCCTGCTCAGAATGAACAAGAGCTGCTGTTGGGCATCGTACCCATTCTTTCAGTACCCATTTCGGGCGTGCAGATTCCCGCCCCCGAAACATAATTTCAGGACCCCCTCCCCCCCGGGACCCCCGCTCTGCAACGGCGAGCCCTCGAGCCTCCGAGCTATCCGCACGGCAGCTGCCCCGGGGGCCCTGCCGGCGCTCGTCCCGGCCAGTGCTTTTCGGGCTGCGTCCGGCCGCGGCGACGAGCACCTCCAGAAGCGCGGAGAAACCTCCTCCTTCCTGCCTCCTCCTCCTCCTCCTCCTCCTCCTCCTGCCTCCTTCCTGCCTCTTCCTCCTCCTCCTCCTCCTCCGCCTCCTCCTCCTCCTGCCTCCTTCCTGCCTCTTCCTTCTCCTCCTCCTCCTCCTCCTCCTCCTCCTCCTCCGACGCCGACGACGACGACGACGAGGACCACGACGGCGGCGACGACGACGACGACGGCGGCGACGACGACGACGACGACGACGACGACGACGACGACGAGGGCGACGACGACGAGGGCGACGACTGCGACGACGATGGCGACGACGACGGCAAGGACCTCTCTCTCGTCGTTGGGGTCCTCGGCCTCGTCGGAGGCGTAGTCCTCCTGGCGGAGGCACGCCAGGAGTGGCCCCTCTGGCGGAGGGCCAGGCCCGGGCGCGCGGGCAGGCTTCACCAGCCTCGAACTCACCCCTACCCCTCCGACGGGCGAGCAAAAAGCGAGGACGATCGCAGGGACGTGCCCTCGGAGACCGAGGGAATCCTCAAGATGGGCATCGAGGTGAGGTGATGCCAGACACAGGGATGGGGACACGTCTCAAACTGGCAGAGGCTGCTGCCGCAGCGCGCTCCGCGATGGCGAGGTCCGCGCTCGGCAGCCCGAGGCCCCGCGCCAGAGGCCACCTCTTTAGCTTGCGATCGATCGCCTCCTCCTCCTCCTCCTCCTCCTCCTCCTCCCCTCCCTCCTCCTCCTCTCTCTCTCCTCCTCCTCCTCCCCTCCTCCTCCTCCTCCTCCTCCACCTCCTCCTCCTCCTCCTCCTCCTCCTCCTCCTCCTCCTCCTCCTCCTCCTCCTCCTCCTCCTCCTCCTCCTCCTCCTCCTCCCGAGGAGGCGGGAGAAGGATGCAAAAGGGCCTCGGAAGCCCAGTCCGGAGCTCTTCTCGAGCGGGGCGCGGCCCGCGAGAGCGGCCGAGGACGGACCGAGGAGGCAAACGGACGAGGGAGGCACCCTCGGGGAAGTCGCCCCTCCTGATCGTGCGGGCTGGCGGTAGAGCGACGATGGGCGCTCGATCGCAGATCCACACGCTCCTGGGGCAGGGTGAGCCTGCCCGGTGACCCTCGTCGTCGGGCCGTCGTCGCCAGAGGCCACCTCCAGGCGGGAGAGCCTCTGCAAGGCTCCTCCTCCTCCTCCTCCTCCTCCTCCTCCTCCTGCCTCCTTCCTGCCTCTTCCTCCTCCTCCTCCTGCCTCCTTCCTGCCTCTTCCTTCTCCTCCTCCTCCTCCTCCTCCTCCTCCTCCTCCGCCGACGACGACGACGAGAACGCGTCCGAAGACCTCCGGCGAGGGGCCACGCTCGCAGAGGGCCGCCCTCAGACCCAGGCGCCCGACAGCGTGGTTTTTCCCGTGCGCGGCCCCAGAGGTCCCAGCCGCTTGCCTGGTGCACCCTTCGGGGGGGGGGGCAACGGCAGGGGGGGAACACTGGCACAGGGAGAGACACACATCGACCTGGAGTCGGCAACACATCGCCGATGGATCGGCGACAGGCCCTCGACAGCGAAGTCCGCACGTTCCTGTGCGGGGTGAGGCCATCAGTCGGAGGCGCGCAAACATGGATTAGCGATCCGTGGATTTGGCGCACGGTCGCCAAATCCATGGATCGGGGGAGGTTGGGAGGCACAGAGACATACTAGTACTATATGTCCTCCTTGGAGGCGAGCGTCCGACCCGAACATATAGTATACCCATCTTGTAGTATATCGTTTCCCGAGCGGTGTGGCCAGAAAGCGCCCGCCACGACGCATATACTATAAGATTTCTCGGTGCGCGCGTCGCCCCTGGGGGGGCGACGCACATATAGTATAAGTATGTTGGGGTGTTGCCGAGAGGTGCCCTCCCCAAAGCGCGGCCGGTGTCGCCTCGCTCGGCGGCGGAACTCCGCGATTTCCAATGGAAACGGGACCCGTCGCTAATCCACGCCCCCTTGATCCATGTTTGCGATCGCCTGAGAATCAAACCCCTCTCGGCGATCAATGGGCGATGGGGGGTCGACACGTCATCCCCCCCCCGACATGCGACGTCCTGATTTTGTTCAGGGCGGCGTCCCTGGCAGTCCCGACCCTTTCCCCGGGACCGGTGTTTCGTCCCGAGCCGTTTTGTTGACGGCCCCGAGGCCCGGCGAGGGCCCGCCAGGGCCGAACATGGCCCAAAACCTCCCGTCATGATTTCTCTTTACGCCGCGATCATGTCTGGGGACCCCTCTCGGTCGGCGATCGATGGGCGATGGGGGGTCAATGCGCCCCCTCCCCCCCCCCTAGTGCCTATCCTTAGGTCGGGCACGTCTTCCTGCAGGCGGAGCCGTGGCGAAAGACAAAACATGGTCCCACAAAAGACCCCCAACACGGACAAACAAATGGTCAACAAAAATCGTCCCCAGACTATAGTTGGACTGTTTGGGAAGATCCCTCCGGCAGATGGACACCCCAGACCCCCGACGTCATGATTTTTTCATTACGTCGACCCCTGGAGGTCCCGACCCTTTCCCTATGACCGGCTTTGCATCCTGAGTCGTTTTTTGACGCTCCCGAGGCCCGGTGAGGGCCCCCGGAGGCCGAAAATTAGGAAAAACCTCCCGTCGTGATTTTTTCATTTATCTGAGAGGGGGTCTGGGGAGGGACACGCCCGACGGACGCCCATCCCCCCCCTGCCGCTGGCCCCCGATGCCGCCACCGGGCCCACGCCTTCCGAGGAGGGGCGCCCCCCTTTGGGGGGGCCCGGCGCCCGCCACCCCCCCCCCCCCCCGGGGGAGAGCCATATGGCCTCGCGGGGACGCGCCGCCGGGGGCCAGGAGAGAGCCCGCCCGGGGCGGCCACGCGAGAGCCCGGGCCCAAACCTGCTGACACACGAGCCTGGACACGACCCCAGACCCCCTCGGGTAATGAAAAAATCATGACGGGATGTTTTTCCTAATTTTCGGCCTCTGGGGGCCCTCACGGGGCCTCGGGAGCGTCGAAAAACGACACAGGATGCAAAGCCGGTCATGGGGAAAGGGTCCAGACCTCTGGGGGTCGACGTGATGAAAAAAACATTACGTCGGGGGTCTGGGACACGAGCCCAGACACGACCGCGTCGTCGAAAACAGAAGTCGGGGCGGGAGGTGTGGGGCTCTCTTCGGCCCTGGGGGGGCCCTCTCGCTGGGCCTCGGGGCCGTCCAGAAACGGCTCGGGACGAGGAGCCGAACCCTGGGAAGGGGTCGGGACTTCCAGGGTTAGCGACTACAGGCGGTCCACCGCCATATCGGGCGAAGAAACTCAAACCTAAACAAAAACTTCAAAATATCTCTAAGCCCAAACGTGCGGAAATCTCAAGATCAAAAAAACTTCAAACAATCCCTACCAAAACCTGCAATAATTTCAAACTCTAACAAAAAGCTGCAACACAAACAGCCAAACCCTGTGAAAATCTCAGACTCTAGAAACAATTGCAAAAAGATGCCTAAGCCAACATCTGCGAACATCTCAAACTCTAAAACATCCGCAACAAAAAAACACTCTAATCCGAAGCCTGGGGAAATCTCAACCTAAAAAAACGTAGAACTGGAAGTCAAACACATTCAACACATACTCAAAACAACTTAGAAACAAACTCTAGAAACATTCGAAACGCTCAAAATATAAAAAATAAATAAACGCCTGGAAACTCAAAACAACTCTAAACAACTCTAACATAGCTCGAACAACGTAACAACACATCCAACAACAACCTTAACCAAATTCTGCCCGCCTGGCGAACTCAAACAACAATTAGTTGAACACTCTTAAAACAACTCTAAAAGCAAACTCCAGCTTAGAATTTGAGATTTTCGCAGGTTTTTGTTGTGAGTGTTTGGGAAGTGTGTTTATAGTTTGAGGTGTTCGCAGGTGGTGGATTAGACATCTTTTGAAGTGTTGTTGGAGTTGAGATGTTCGCAGGTTTTGGCTTAGAGATGTTTATCTATTATTTTAGCGTTTGAGATTTCCGAAGGTTTTGGCTTAGAAATGTTTTAAAGTGTTTGGGGAGGTTGAGTTTCCTTCTGAAGAGTTTCCGAAGATTTCGGCTGGTTTTCTCGATGGACCTCCTGTAGTAGAACTGCCGAAGCTAACTCCAGGGACGCCGCCCTGAACACAATCAGGACGTCGCACGTCTGGGGTGTTCACTCGCAGGGAAGGCAAAGCAAGGGAAGCCTGGCGCCACGCCCAGAGGGGGGAGGAGGCCGGAGGAGCAAAGCGGGGGCGCATCATGCAGGAAGCGGCCCGAGATCCGGACCCCCCCCACGTCATGCTTCTGTTCACGCGTCGACCCCCAGAGCGGCCTCGAGCCACTCTCCAGGACCGGCTCTTCATCCCGGGCCGCTTCTCGACGCGCCCAGAGGGCCCGGCGAGAAGGCCCCCGGAGGCCGAACGCATCCAGAAAGACCAAAAAACATCCGTCCCGGTATTTTTTGTTTGCGATCGCGCGAGGGGACGGCATGCTGCTCCGCACGAATGTGGTGCCAACGAATGGAGGATGGATTGGATCCGTCAGTGGCTCAGTCCTGCGCGCTGGCGCAGAAGCCATGATGCTTCTTCTTGGCAGTGGGCCAGCTTCCCTCTCCCGTCTCCTGCAGGGACTTCGCATCCCCCTCTGATGGTGGGATGGGGAGACGGTCCGCCGCCCCCTGCGCCGCACGTACTGCGCAGGGTTAGTGGGCATCTGGCCTCCAGGCCGAGACCAGATGGGAAAAAGCCAGGAGGTGGAGAGACCAGAAGGTACCGAGAGACCGCTACGCCCCGGACCTCTCCCGGGGTACGCTCTGACCAGGTTTTCGAGAGGCGAGTCCAGCGGAGGCGACGAGGGCCGCCCAGGAGGCCCAACGTGGACGATGGAAAGGTATAGGTAGGGGTACCTCCCGGACGTCCCTGGAAGTCCCGACCCGTTCCAAGGGACCGGCTTCTCGTCCCGAGTCGTTTTTTGCCGCCCCCGGGCCCAGCGAGGGCCCCCCGGGGCCGAACGTGGCCAAGAACCTCCCGCGCCACGTCTTGTTTTACGACGCGATCGTGTCTGGGTAGCGGTAAGGGCACCCCTTCCTCCTCTCTTCCTCCGAGGGACCACGCGACGGCTACACGCAAGAGCGAGCCGTGGCAAGCGTGACCTTTGGTGCGCGGCTTTGGGGGGGCCGCGGGGCGGCCAGACGCAAGCGCGCAAGACGCTACTATACCGCATCGCGCTCCGCGATCGTGGGGGCCCCATGGGCCCGCTCCCAAGGCCACTCCGGCAGAGGGTCACTCTTACAGACAAAAACCCTAATAAGGACGCGCGGCAAGGGCGCAAGACCCTTGGAAGCCGGAGTTGGGGTGTTTGGGGCGGCGGACGACGAAAACCTCAAGGACGCAAGAGCAAGGAAGAGCAAGGACGCAAGGGTACCCTGAGCAAAGTCGCGCGTCCATATCCGTGTTTTTGGCTGTACGTGTAGTCGACACAGGCCCCTCCTGCTCCACATCTGCCGGCGCGCAGCTGGCCCGTCCTCGGCCGACGGCGCGCGCCCGGCGTCGTCGTCGTCGGCCCCGCCGCCTCCAAGCAGCCGCCCCGCCTCGCCGGTGCGATGCCACACCGGGGGGGGGGACTCCACCGCGAGGGGTCCGAGGGCCCCGTCGGGCCCGGTAAGGAGGTACCACGCAGGGTTTTCTCTGTTCCTCCTCCTCCTCCTCCTCCTCCTCCTCTTCCCCTCCTCCTCTCCCCTCCTCTCCTCCTCCTCCTCCTCCTCCGCCTCCTCCCTCCTCCTCCTCCGCCTCTCCCCCCCCCTCCCCTCCCCCCTCCCGCATCCCTCCTCCCCCTCCCCTCTCCCTCCCTCCTCCATCTCTTTTCCTCCTCCTCCTCCTCCTCCTCTTCCTCCTCCTCCCCCCCTCCTCCTTCTCCCCCTCTCTCCTCCTCCTCATCCTCCTCCTTCTCCTCCTCCTCCTCCTTCTTCTCATCATCCATTATCATCATCATCATCATCATCAGCAGCAGCAGCAGAATCATCATCTTCATCATCATTATCATCAGCATCACCATCATCATCAGCATCATCATCATCGTCATCATCATCATCAGCAGCAGCAGCATCATCAGCAGCATCATCACCATCATCATCAGCATCATCATCACCATCATCCTCTTCCTCCTCATCAACATCGGCCTCCTCCTCCTCCTCCTCCTCCTCATGATCAGCATCATCAGCATCAGCATCATCAGCATCATCATCAGCAGCATCATCGTCATCATCCTCTGTCGTATCCTCATCATGTTCCTCCTCCTCCTCCTCCTCCTCCTCCTCCTCCTCCTCCTCCTCCTCCTCCTCCTCCTCCTCCCCCTCCCCCTCCCCCTCCCCCTCCCCATCCCCCTCCTCCTCCTCCTCCTCCTCCTCCAACTCCGTGGGCCTCTGCCGAGGGGCCTCGGGGCTGTCCAAAAACGGCTCGGGTCGAGAAGCCGGTCCTGGGGAACGGGTCGAGACCCCTGGTTGGCGGCGCGCACAAGGAGGGCAGAGGGAAGGGCCCAGACACGATCGCGCCGTGAAAAAAACAGGACGGTCGCTTTTTTGTTGCTATTTTCGGCCCCGGGGGGCCCTCGCCGGGCCACGGGACCATCAGAAAACGACTGAGTACGAAAAACCGGTCCCGGGGAAAGGGTCGGGACTTCCAAGGACGCCGTCCTGAAAAAATCAGGACGCCGCATGTCTGGGAAAGGGCCTCGGGGCCGTCTAAGAACGGCTCGGGTCGAGAAGCCGGTCCTGGGGAACGGGTCGAGACCCCTGGCTCGCGGCGCGCACCACCAGGGGGAGCAGAAGGAAGGGGGGAAGGCTGCTTGGGAGAAGCCTGCTTCTCAGGAGGCGCCGGCCCTGCATCCGCAGAGAGGGCCCGCGCCTCCCAAGAAGCAGGGTGCCTCTAAGAGGCCTTCCCCCCTCCCCCTGCCCGCCTCTGCGCATGGCCGACATGGGGGTCGGCGTTGTTTTGTTAGTTTTAGGGGGTCTGGGATGGTCGCATCGAGGCAGCGGAGCCTTCTGGATCCCCCAGGACCCTCCAGGACCCCGCCGCGCGCCCAGAGGCGCGTCGATCCTCGATCCTCCCTCCTCCTCGCTCCTCGGTGTCCGGGAGAAGCCGGTGACTCCCCCAGTGCAGGATCAGTCAGCACAGAAGCGCTAAACTGGGTCACAGCAGCATGTGCATCGGATCGGGCTGCGTCGGCACGAGGTTGAATTCGAACTGGATCGGCTGCGCCAGGATGCGCAACAACGCCATGCAGGCGTCGGGCCGCAAATCGGATCTGGCCCGAATCGATATCGAATCGCATCGATCGGATCGAAATGGACACTGTACCAGTAGGGCGATGCCCCTTTCGACGACCACGAAGGGTGTGGCTTGCAAAGGGTGTGGCTTGCAGTTGGCACCCTGGGGCGGCACCCTGGGGAGCGGGCGGCAACGTCGATGGAGTCCTCCGCCGCTCCCCGAGGAGGTCCGACGAGGACAGTGCCGCGCCCCCCAGGCCCTCATGGTGCTGATCGCAGACCACACCCTGGCGTAACCACACCCTGCGCAATCGCCGACCCATTAACTGCGGAGAACGGGTCCCGAGGGAAACGGGTCCTGAGGGAGCCTGGTTCCTTCCCCCCGGACGAGCTTCTCATCCGGAGCCGTTCCTGAGCCGTTCCTGCCGGTACTGGGGCCCGTGGCGGGCCCCGAGGGCCCGAAACCGGTGAAGAACCTCACGACCCGTTTCCCTCAAGGCCTGCTTCCCTCACGGCGAGTACGGCCCGACCGGGGAAAGAAGAACGCCCTTCCAGAGCACGAGACCCTCCGCGGGCCAGACCGCACGGAGCACTCGATAGGGCACCATCCCCGAGGCTGCACAAGAATAGGGAGAGCAAAAGATACCCATACCGCTACTCCCCGGACCTCTCCTGGGGTGCGTTCTTACCAGAATTTCGAGGCGAATCCAGCGGTGGTGACGAGGGCCGCCCAGGAGGCCCAAAAAGGGGAAATCGAGGGAAGGGTAGAGAATGGGTGCCTCTTCCTCCTCTGAAAAAGCACCCAACAAGCACGAAGAACATTAGGGCACCCTCCCCGAGCCGACCTGGATCTTTTTTTCCCTGGTCCAACCGAATGGCGAACCCCCCTTGGAACCCTAACACCCTTGGGCGAGAGAAGCCCGATGTCCGTGATGACGCCAGGCTCAAGGCGCTTTCTCAGCGAGGCTACGCCCTGGGCAGAGGAGTCCAGGGGAGCCAACCTCGGCACTGTGGAAGACATCTGTGCGTACTCCCCAGACCCCCGACGTCATGATTTTTTCATTACGTCGACCCCTGGAGGTCTCGACCTATTCCCCTGGACCGGTTTTGCATCCTGAGTCGTTTTTCACGCTCCCGAGGCCCGGTGAGGGCCCCCGGAGGCCGAAAATCAGGAAAAAAAACCCGTCGTGATTTTTTCATTACCCGAGGGGGTCTGGGTCTCTTCCAGGGCACCCTCCCCGAACCGACCGCGACCTCATGCCACGGTCCGGCCACATGGCGACCCCCCTCCTCCTCCTCTCCTCCTCCTCCTCCTCCTCCTCCTCCTCCTCCTCCTCCTCCCCCTCCTCCTCCTCCTCCTCCTCCTCCTCCTCCTCCTCCTCCTCCTCCTCCTACCACGGTCCGGCCATATGGCGACCCCCCTTTGGCACCTGCCCCGGCCTCGGGGCACCGCCCCGGCCGCTCCTCTTCGGGGTGGCCGCCGGGGCCGCCGCGGTGCCGCCACGGGCCCATGGCGGCGCCAAAAGCCCCCGCGGCGCGCGCGGGGGGGCGAATTCCTCCGGCCCGAGGAGGGAGCGAGAAAGAGAGAGAGAGAGAGCGAGAGAGAAACCCCACTGAGAGGAGGAGGAGGAGGAGGAGGAGGAGGAGGAGGAGGAGGAGGAGGAGGAGGAGGAGGAGGAGAGGAGGAGAGGAGGAGGAGGGAGGAGGAGGAGGGGGAGGAGGAGAAGGGGGGGAGGAGGAGGATACATTGGAGAAGGAGCAGGAGGAGGAGGAGGAGGAGGAGGAGGAGGAGGAGTAGGAGGAAGAAGAGGAGGAGACACCAGAGAAGGATGAGCAGGAGCAGGAGCAGAAGCAGCACACCTCTTACACCTCTGCTTAGAGTTGAGACTATATTCCAGGCTAAGAAGACAGAGCTCACTCCAAGCGTTTTCTCAGACAGTGATCCAGGTCTAGATCCACGAATGTTCTCTTCGAGCAAAAGCCAGAGAGAACGCCCAGGGTCCAGTCCAAATTCTTGGCGAAATCTGGAGTGCAGGAAGGTCAATGAACTTCCATTCCAAAGAGAATACCCGATTGGTGTAATCAGTTTCGTCCCGATCCCGACGATTGTCAAGCCAAAAGGCGGTGGCAATCTCAGGGGTGTGCTCTCAGCGGCCAAAGGGAGCCTTGAGATCGGCGGCGCCGAGGTGGGGGGATGCCAGACGTAGGGATAGGGACATGTCTCAAGCTGGCCACCTCCGGCCTTGCGCCCAGCATTTGTGCCGCCCGCCTCGAGCTCTCGAAGCCGGCGCACCCACGACACGGAGCCCAGCGGAGCGCTCTCCCAACCCACTAGCCGTCTGCGCACGCGGAGGCCCTTCCGGCCCTCCAGCCGAGAGCGGCGGCGGAGAAGCAGCCAAGACCAGGACAGACAGGCAGGCAGGCGGGCACGCGGGGAAGCGTCCAGGCAAGGCCCACTGGTGGGCAGCGTGGCGGGCCTCAGGAGGAGGAGGAGGAGGAGGAGGAGGAGGAGGAGGAGGAGGAGGGGGAGGAGGGGAGGGGAGGAGAGGAGGAGGAGGGGGGAGGAGGAGGAGGAGGAGGAGGGGAGGAGGAGGAGGAGGAGGAGGAGGAGGAGGAGGAGGAGGAGGAGGAGGAGGGAGGAGGAGGAGGAGGGGGAGGAGGGGGAGGAGGAGGAGGAGAGAGGAGGAGGGAGGAGGAGGAGGAGGAGGAGGAGGAGGAGGAGGAGCGAGTTCTCAGCATGCTGTTGGCGTTGCAAAAGTGCGTGCTCAGCAGCTGCGCCCTCCCACAGTCCGGGAGCGGTCAGCCTCGAGCCGGGGATCCCGCGCGGGCCTCCGACAGGTCCGTGTGCGAAACGAATGTGACTTCTTCGAGCCTCGGAGGCCTCCAGGAGGCCTCGCGTAGGAGGCACGCCTCGGAGAAGCCGGCAAGCCCTCTCGAAGGCCCCTCTCTCGCCCCACCAGGAGCGGTCGGTATCGAGTCGGAACGTCGGATCGAATCGGACTGCGCGTCGTATCGGGCTGCACCGGCACAGCGTCGAAGTCGGAGCGGATCGGCTGCGCCAGGGTGCACAGCGGCTGCAGGACAAGAGTAGAGGTCAAAAAAAACCATAAGAACCACCCCGACACGCGAAGTCGCTGAGTAAACGCGCCCAAAGAAGGAATCGAACAGGGCAAGGCTGATTAGTAAACGCCCAGGGCCGTTTAGCAAACGTCAATTATCGGGTTCGGGTGGTTTTCCTTCCTTGAAAGAGTACGTCTGGGAACCTGACCAGGACATGGAGAAGCCCGTCAGCAGAACACTTCGGAGGCCCGCGCGGACTTCTTGCATCGTCGCTGGGCCCCGCCCCCCTGGCGCGCGTGGCGCGTGCGCTGGCTGCGCCGCCAGGGGGGCCCAGCGCAGATCCAAGAATTTCAAGTGGACCTCCGCTCACAGCCATGTGGGCACTTCCCCCCGCCCTGCGTACATGTCCTGGCCTGCGCGCCACGGCCCCCGAGCCAGGCCGGAGCTGAACAAAAAGGAGTGGGAAACGCGTGGTGCGTGCCCGCTTTCGGCCGCTGTCGCGGAGCCTGGGCGGTGGGAGTACGCCAGACCACGACGTCGTCCTTGCCTCTTCGAACAGCGGCACTGGCCATCCAAGACTTCCCAAAAGCATTGGCTCTGCCGAGCCTCTCTGGGGCTCGGATCCGAGGCGCTGCTCTTCAGGGTGAGGGCGCGTGAGGCGCAGGGAGATGGGGGGGAACGGCTCGGGGGGGGGGAAGCATCGACCTGGAGTCGCCGGTAGATCGCCGATAAGTCGGGGGTGGGCGCTCGATAGCAACTCCACCCCTGGGGCAGGACGAGCCTATCTCCCCTATTGTTCCTCGTCGTCGGGCTTTCGGGCCACAGCGCGTGTCTCCAGCGGCCGTTCGGGACGATCCGAGCAGGCGCAGCTGCTGGAACGCATCCCGAGGCCGGGAAGTTGACGAGAGCCAACGACAACGCCAGAGCACCTCGAACCTCGAACCTCGAAACCTGGAGCCTATAACCCGAACCTCGAAACTTCAAACCTCGAAACCTCGAACCTCCAAACCTCGAAACATCGAAATATGTCAGAGCACCTCGAAACCTCGAACTTCGAGGCTCGAACCTCGAAACCTCGAAGCCTCGAGCTTACTAATCCCTGAGCCTCTACCCCCCTTGCGCTGCCACAGAGAGAGGCGCCAGCCCCTCCGGACAGCACGCCCTCGGGACCCCCGCGCGGGCCTTCGAGAGGACGCCTCCCAGGAACTGCAGCGCCAGGGCCGACAGCCCGAGCGCGCGCAGGGCGTCGGGGAGGTCCTCGCGCGCGCGGGCGCGAGGGCGAACTCGAAAATTGACAGAACTGAAGGGGCCCTGGGACACACAAATAAATACACACAAATAAAAAGATCCCCCTATATTTTTCCATATTTTCTGGGTTTCTGTCTTCCCCCCCACTTCCCATATTTTCCCATATTTTCTGGGCAATCGAGGATTAATTGTGTCTGTGTGTTTCTTTTCCTCCTGAAGAACGCCCTTCAGCAAAACGCCTTGAGGGGAAGCTACCAGGGACGCTCCAAGAGCGCACGGCACCACATTCCGACTGCACCCCAGCGGGGTAACCAACCGACGCCCAAACACCCAACGATCAGATCAAACGAAACGCACGTCGATTAGCGAAAACGATTGGGGACTGCACCAGCACACTCAAATGCCAACGTCGAATGAACCAGCGCACATGTCCTCAATCGCATTGTCTGGGTTGGCGGGCGTTCTCCCAGTGCCCGAAACAAGGGATAAGTCGGCCCTTCTCCCGACATCTGTGGGGTTCTCGAACGGGCCAATAGTTTGGGGCCCAACTCGGGGATGTACGACCGGGGGGCGCTCATCCTCGGTGCGGAATACGTCCGAATAGACCCCTGGAAGCGTATCCCCGAGCTCCCGAGTCAGTTAGATTCAGCAAGAGTAAGAGGAGGAGGAGGAGGAGGAGGAGGACGAGGAGGAGGAGGAGGAGGAGGAGGAGGAGGAGGAGGAGGAGGAGGAGAAGGAGGAGGAGGAACGAGGAGGAACGAGGAGGAATGAGGAGGACGAGCGAACGACCTGTGGGGGGGGCGCGGCCTCTCCTGAATCCGCGACCGCGCCACCCGCCTAGGCCGCCGGGGCCCCCTGGGACCGCGAGGGCCTGGAAAACGAAGATGTTCCTCCTCCTCCTCCTCCTCCTCCTCCTCCTCCTCCGCCTCCTTCTCCTCCGCCTCTGTCAGGACTTTTGGCCGCAGCTCCGAGGTTCGAGGCGTCCTCTTCTTGCTGTGTCTTTTTCGTCGTGTGCCCCCGGGGTGCGTGGTCGCGTGTGTGCGTGTTGTGTGTGTGTGTGTCTCTGTGTGGTGTACGTCGTGGGTCATGGGTGCATGCCCCTGCGGGCATTCCACCCCGTGGGATGAAGCCAATAAGTGCTTTCAGATGTACCGATCCATCCATTTTTTTGGTGTACCGGCCTATCCGCTGTCGAACCTCCGTGCCTTTGGGTGTACCGGTCCATCCGTGCCGGCGGTGACAAACCTCGCACCTACGGGCATACAGGTTGTGGGTACCTCCTCGGAGTGAGGGTTCTCCCTATCGCAGGCGCACAATCTGTGGTGCATGCTATCGTGTCTTTCTTGCCCGCCCCTCGGCCGCTGCGTTAGCGGATGGGCCGGCACGCCCAAAAGTAGCATAGCACAGCATAGAAGATGCGCGTTCTTGTGGTATGGAGTTTGCCGCGTGCCTTGAGTGCCATATCCTGCAGGTAGAACACTTTATGTGTCACGGAATACCCCCTCAGACTTGTCACGGTTTTCGCCGGGGGCCGTTTGCATACCAAGAGGTGCGGCACTCAGGGGGGACAGCTTCGGTGACCCCCCATATGCTATCCAGGCCAGCCCGTGTATTGTGGAACATAGGCGGGTGACAAGCGTTGTTTTTAAGTCCCCTTTTCAGGTATCCCCCCAGGACGCTGCTCCCGGACATCCGCTTCGACTTCCTGCCCTCTCCCCCCACCCCCACCCCGGTGAGGACCATCATAGGTTTCACCTGTGAGGACCATCATAGGCCTCACACCCCCTGCGGCTGCCATCATAGGGGCCGCTGGGGTCGCCCTCTCCCACCAGTACACCAATGCACCAACACTTTACGGCGTCAATAGCCAATGGAGGGGGCCGAGGACCTCCCTGCAGCCCCTCGGCCAACGAAGACGGCTGCAGGGAGGGGTCCAAACGTACCTCCACCTTCATGCGCCAATCTACCAACACACCAATAAACCAACTCCTCATATTCCTCCATGGGGCCGTGAACGGGATTTATCCCCTGCCGGCTGACGGTGCCTGTCAATGTCAGTAATCTATTACTCTGTGGCGTCAGTTGCCAACCCAGTGCACCAGTGCACCAAGGGTGACGGTTCGACCCGTGCCGCCGCGGTGTCACATGTGCCGCCGCGGCGTCACTCATGAGGTCGTTCCCGCTCCCCGCCCTTAAGCTGAGCTCTCCAAGGACGGGTATGTAAAACCCTCCCAGCCACCTCCGTCTGCCACTTGGGGCGCAGGTGCGTGGCTGGGCCTACTCCCCTCCTCCTCCTCCTCCTCCTCCCCCCCCCCCGCCTTTCTTCATGGATGGGTATGGCCGCCGTTCAATCTACACGTCCGGAGCAGCGGCCCTCGCCGAGAGCTGTCCAGGGGCCACCTTGGATCGTCCCCCCCCTGTCGTTTTCCTTCGGCTTCAGGTCCCCCGGTCAGGCGGCTTCCCTCTTTCAGGTATCCCGTTTCAGGTGCCCCTGTCAGGACTTTTGGCCGCAGCTCCGAGGTTCGAGGCGTCCTCTTCTTGCTGTGTCTTTTTCGTCGTGTGCCCCCGGGGTGCGTGGTCGCGTGTGTGCGTGTTGTGTGTGTGTGTGTCTCTGTGTGGTGTACGTCGTGGGTCATGGGTGCATGCCCCTGCGGGCATTCCACCCCGTGGGATGAAGCCAATAAGTGCTTTCAGATGTACCGATCCATCCATTTTTTTGGTGTACCGGCCTATCCGCTGTCGAACCTCCGTGCCTTTGGGTGTACCGGTCCATCCGTGCCGGCGGTGACAAACCTCGCACCTACGGGCATACAGGCTGTGGGTACCTCCTCGGAGTGAGGGTTCTCCCTATCGCAGGCGCACAATCTGTGGTGCATGCTATCGTGTCTTTCTTGCCCGCCCCTCGGCCGCTGCGTTAGCGGATGGGCCGGCACGCCCAAAAGTAGCATAGCACAGCATAGAAGATGCGCGTTCTTGTGGTATGGAGTTTGCCGCGTGCCTTGAGTGCCATATCCTGCACGTAGAACACTTTATGTGTCACGGAATACCCCCTCAGACTTGTCACGGTTTTCGCCGGGGGCCGTTTGCATACCAAGAGGTGCGGCACTCAGGGGGGACAGCTTCGGTGACCCCCCATATGCTATCCAGGCCAGCCCGTGTATTGTGGAACATAGGCGGGTGACAAGCGTTGTTTTTAAGTCCCCTTTTCAGGTATCCCCCCAGGACGCTGCTCCCGGACATCCGCTTCGACTTCCTGCCCTCTCCCCCCACCCCCACCCCGGTGAGGACCATCATAGGCCTCACCTGTGAGGACCATCATAGGCCTCACACCCCCTGCGGCTGCCATCATAGGGGCCGCTGGGGTCGCCCTCTCCCACCAATGCACCAATACACCAATACTTTACGGCGTCAATAGCCAATGGAGGGGGCCGAGGACCTCCCTGCAGCCCCTCGGCCAACGAAGACGGCTGCAGGGAGGGGTCCAAACGTACCTCCACCTTCATGCACCAATCTACCAACACACCAGTAAACCAACTCCTCATATTCCTCCTCCTCCCTCCTCCGCTTCCGCCTCCTCCTCCGCCTCCTCCGCTTCCGCCTCCGCCTCCTCCTCCTCGTCCTCCTCGTCCTCCTCCTCCTCCTCCGCCTCCTCCCCTCTCCCCTCCTCCGCCCTCCGCTTCCGCCTCCGCCTCCTCCTCCTCGTCCTCCTCCTCCCCCTCCTCCTCCTCCTCGTCCCTCCTCCTCCTCCTCCTCCTCCTCCTCCTCCTCCTCCTCCTCCTCGTCGCCCCAGGCCAACCAACTGCACGAGCGCCGGGCCAGGAGGGTCATCAGCAGGACTGGCGAGAAAGGCGGCGCGGCTGTGACGCCGACTGCACCAGGGAGATCTGCTGCAGATTCGTCAAATCAAAAAGACCAGGGAACCGCTCCACGGAAAGCTCCGAAGAGTCGGCCATCGAATCGCACGTGTAATGGGGAACTGTCGTGGCGTGCAGCACGGATTCGGCAGCATAGATGTATTCGCGCAGCGTTTCGGCAGCTTTGTCGTCATGAGGTGGAGCAGGGACATCAGGTTGGAGGCCGGCCGGTAGGTCAGCAATCGGGAGGCCCATCTCGAAAATCTCAATGTCAACGTGTTCAGCCCACTCCGTCTCGTAAGCCACGCACTGAGTGGCTGTCCGATCTTCGCGATCAGCGTCCGCAAGCAGCGCAGTTGGAGCCGCCGATGGAGCACCTGGTGTAGAGGGGCCGAAGTGGTTGCCGAATTCGCGATCGGGCATCCAGTCCCAGCAGGCGAGCGGCGGCGGCTGCTCCGCAGTCGAGGGCGCCTCCACGGGGGCGCCCTGGTCCTTGAGCGCGATCTCCTGGTCTGCCGGCGTAGGCATCCGCTCCGGTACAGCAGCAAGCTGCACCACAAGATCTGCATCCACTTCGTCTGGCTCGAAGTCGTCGTCGCGACCGCTGTCGGCAAGGGCGGGGGCCCCAGGCGGGTCGAAGTTGCAGAGCGGCGGGCCCGCGGGGCGAGGGGGGCGCGCAGCGGCGGCGGCGTGCGGTCAGCCGAATCGGCGAGGAAGCTCGCGCGCTCGGTCGGGTTCGTGAGCGTCGCATCGGGTCTCCAGTCGCGGACCCAGCGATGCTCATATATACATATATATGTATGCATATATATATACACATGTATAAATACGGCCTCAGAGACCGCGGGGCGTCGATGCTCAGCAGTTGGCCAGGGAGAGGAAAGTGGCCGTCGCTGCTGCTCGCGAGCGCAAAGGCCGAGTCGCGCCGAGCCCTCTCGCGGATCCCCCTGGTTTCCCTGCGGCGCTGCTGGGCAGCTTGCGGTCGCGAGCGGGGGTGGGGCGAGCCGAAAGAGGAACGCCGATGCACCGCTCCATTCAGTTCGCGGAAGTCTGGGCCCTGGACGTCAGCGTAGAAGAGCGCGGGCAGCCAGCCCTGGGCCCATGAAGCAGGGGGGAAAGCAACATCATCAGAAACACGAGCTGCAGCAGGCAAGCCGAAAACACCGGGAGAATTTGCCGCGCTGGGCACGCGGAAGGGCCCAGAGAGCAAGAAGTAGACGGGGATATCGCAAAGCTGCGTCTCAGCGAAGTCAACCTTCGCGACGTCGTGGGAGTAGTCCAGACGCCAGCAATGAGCCAGGTGCCGCCGAAGAGCGCAATGCAGATGGCGTCGGCGCATCACCCAACACGGCGACGTTGTCGTTGAAGGAAACAACGCGCGAAGCTGAGAGCGACAGCCCAGCCGGAACCGCGGGCGATCGCGCGCGCGCCGCGCGACGGCGGCCCGCCCCGAGACCCTCTCCGCGGCGGCCGGCGCCAGGGAAGCCGCGACCTCCATGGGGCGGGGCAATCGCGCCCAGCGCCTCGAGGGCGTGGTCAGCGATGATAGCCGGCCTCGCCGAAGAGGAAGATGAACCAGATGGTGCGGTCGGCGATCGCACGTTCGCCACCCGACGGCAGCCCGTCCAGAGATCTTCGCCACGAGAGCCACCACCAGGGCAACCGTGACCTCCAAGGGATAATACAAGAAGATCCACGGAGCAGATGGAGTGGCCCAGTGCGATCATCCGCGGAGCCAGGGGGGGCACACCCAGAAGAAAAAACAAACTCAAGTGCGACGGGTCTAGCGCAGTGGCGTTGTCGATGAGATGGTGAAATGCCTCGTCGTGGCGCGCTGCAGCGGCTTGAGCACGGGTAGACAAACAGACAGCGTGATACCTGGGGGCTTCCGCGCGCTCAGTGACATGGATCGAAGCCTTGGCAGCGGCTGGGAGGTCGGCAGAAGGAACATGATCACGATGCCGCACAGAACGATAGAGCGCATTAGCCACACTCAACAGCTCGATAGACCCTGCGTCATGGCGAACCACAGGCTAGCCGACGAGCAGGTCAGCAGGAAGGCAAAGCCGCCCCCCAGAGAGCGCCTTCGCCAAGCCCCAGAGCAGGCTGCTGCCCTCCAGGTAGTGCAAAATGTCGCCCAGCTCCGAGTCGCAGCCGAAAACGCAAGGCCAAACGCCAGCGGCCGTCGCGATGCGCATCGAGGCAAGCCTGCCGCCAGCAAGAGCACGAATGCAAAATTGCGCCCGCGCTCGAGGAAGACGGCGATGGAGGCGTTGAAGCTGCCACCACGCAGCAAGCAAGCCGACGCGGGCACCGCGTGGCCCACTGGGCGAGGCGCGCGCAGGCGGAGGTGCGGGCGACGAGCAGCAGGCGCCCAGGTAGCGCAAGAAGCGTCGACTCGGTCATGCGTTGCAGGATGGCCTGGTCGGCGATCTGCATTGGATGTATGTTGGCGTGGCCAACGCCGCGGCGGCAGTCGACAGCGAGCCAGGCTAGCACCGAGCCTGCGCCGCGAGGAACAGGGGCACGACCACGAGCAGCCAAGTCGGGCCAGGTGTTCGAAGAAGGCGGCGCTCGTGCGCGTCGCCGATCGGAGCGCCATCGCCTGCGCCGCGGCCGCGGCCGACGCGAGCTTAGAGGCGCCCCGGTGGTGCCAAATTGCGCAGTCAACGCGATGACGATGAACTGGGCTACGCGCGACAACGTCGGGACGATCCGCGCGTTATAGGTGTGCGCGTTGACCGCGGAATCTAACCGGCAGCCCGAGTGAATTAGCTTGTCGGTGATCTGGAAGCAGGCCCGCAGCGGGACATGCGAGGCCGGGAAGTTCTGGGCGCGGAGCTGGACCTCCTCGGAGAAGGACGCGAACAGCGGGCCCACAGGTAGAGCGCAGCGCGCACGGAGGGCGTGGATCGAGAAGGGCACACCGCTATCGTCGTCGGCACAGGCACGCACTGCCACGACGCGACGCGGACGCGGAGGAGCGTCGGGAACAAAGAATGAGCGAAGAGCGCCCCCGACAGCGCGCAGACCTGGACGATGCCACGCGCGACGCGGAACATCGCGATCACCAGCTGGTACGAAATCGAGACGGCCGCAGAAAACGAGCCGAGGCCCTCCACCGCCTGGAGGAAGCCAACAAGACCTCCATCATGCATTCCTGCGAAAGGCTCGGGAACGCCTAGCCGAAGTCGAAGGCCGCGAGCAGCGGCAACTCCCGGGCGGCCCCAGGGGCCGGGCCAGCGACGCGGGACAGGGCATCAACCACGAGGATGTGATCGGTGAACTTGCGCTTAGCGATGAAGCCCCATTGAGGCGCGGGAGCAACTGTTTGCGCGATGGGCGAGACGGCAACGTCGAGGGCGGGACCGATGTTTTTGAGCGACGCGTTGCGGAGGCTGCGAACGCGCGGGTCGGCACCAGCGCGGAAGACATCGTCGTTGTCGCCGTTGTCCTGGAAGCCCCTCGGGAGGATGGCCCGTTCGGTGTCGGACGCTGCGCGGAGGAGTTGCTAAGCGCTCATCAGCCTGGAGTTGGCGCCCCCGAGGATGTCGAGGCAGCCAGGCAGAGCGCGCCTCGCGACTTGCGGGGGGGAGAACCAGAGCCAGATGTCGAAGCAGAGAGAGACGGCGCGCAGCCGAACGCGAGGCAGAGCGCGATGGCGGAGCAGCCCAAATTGGCGCGGCGGAGCCAAACTGGTCGCGAACGCACGCGCGCCCCGGCCAGGTCGATGTCCAGATTCGAAAAGACGGGGCCCCAGTTCGCTGCGGCCGCGGCGACCGTCTACCCGCCCCTGGCGAGGGCGCGGGCGCCGTCCGCGATGCCTTTGGAGTCGGGCTTCTCGCCGAAACGGGCCCGCCAACGCGCGCCGCGCACCGCCGCTTGCAACTGGCCCGCGGCGAATTTGCGACGCCGAGGGGCGGCTGAGCAACAGCGAGGGGCGCAAATGCCGACGTCGACGGCAGCAAGCAGAGCATGCGAAGTCCAGGACTCGAAGGCCGAGGCATCGATGGCCCCCACCTTTCCACCAGCCGCCCGCAAGCGTGCCCGCAAAGGTTCAGAGGCAGCAAGTAGTCGGGCAGCCAGCCAGCATTCGCCACGCCAGAGAGCACGAGCAGCCTAACGAGCTAGAGACAACCACCCCTGCAGCGAGCTCGCGTCGGTGGCGCCGAAGAGCTCGAACGACCCCCGGCGGCTTCCTCGATCAGGACCTTCGCGCAGTCAAGGCGAGGCGGCGGCGCCATGGAGTGGAGGCCATGGCGCTCCCAGTCGATCAAGCACTGGAGGCGCCGCTGGACATCGTCGCGCGCAATTCGGCGAGGCGCGAGCAGCGCGAGGGAAGGCGGCGCGGCCCTTCAGCGAGATGGCGACTGCGGCGCGGTCGCTGCAGCCGTGGTCCGAGAGCTCCTCGGGCGCGCCACGAACAGCCATCGACGCCGAAAGCTGGCGGGGCCAAGTGGGCAACGAAGTCCTGCAGCGATCCAAAATCGCCAATGCGCCCGGCTCCTTGTGGTGGCGGGTCGGGTCGGGGTGGCCATCTCCGCGGGCCGGTCGAGCACCTGGCGCCACCTGCTCCTGCGGGGGCGCCCGGAATACCTGGGCGGGGGCGCCTGCGGCAAAGGAACAGCCAACAGCAGAAGGTCAAACGGTGCGAAATTGAAGTCTCCGTTGATTGCCAGCGGGCGCCACGGAGGGCCAGCGCGGGCCCAGGCGACGTCGGCAGCGATGGAGTCCGTGACCGAGCAGACCTGGGCGAGGTCGCGGTCGCGGTCGCGCGCGTCGTCGCGGCGCAACATGGCATTGGGCAACTTAGTCGCGTTGCGGGGCGCACTCCCAGGCGCCAGCGGCGCAGCCGCGGCGTTGCCCAGCGCGCGCCGCGCAAAGGGTAACGCCGCGAGCGCGCCGCAAGCAGCTGCCGAAGCGAACGAGTCGAAGACCGCGTGCGTGTGGCTTACTTCCATTAAGAAGACACTCGCTGGGTCTCCGCCTGGCGCACCCCGCGGATCGCGCCAGTGCTATCCTTGAAAAAACGCGCGGAGGCAGCGCGCCTTGGCGGATGCCATCCGCCCTCGCCAGCGCTGTGAATGTCTGGCGTTCCAGGGGGAGAAGACCAGGGAGCTGGGGCGCGCGTCCGAGCCGGCGGCGGGCTTGGCCATGAGGGCCAATAATTGGTTTCAAGCCTCTCATCGGGTTCGGCGCCAGGTTGGGCAATAGCGTCGGCGTCGGTCTTGAGAGGAGGAGGAGGAGGGGGAGGAGGAGGGGGAGGAGGAGGAGGAGGAGGAGGAGGAGGAGGAGGAGGAGGAGGAGGAGGAGGAGGAGGAGGAGGAGGGGGGGAGGAGGAGGAGGAGGGGGAGGGTGCCAAGCGAAATCAGCGTCGAGCCGCCGGGCCCACATCGCTGAACTCGAATTCGCCGCCGGCTGCCGACCAGGGCGAGGAGCGCGGCGGGCGGGCGGCGCCAGCGCCTCGGAGATCCAGCCCTGCTCGCGGTCAAGGTGGGACTTGCGGTCGGGGAAGCGGAGCCGCGTGGCGTCGAGGAGCTTCTCGTCGTGGATCTCGCGGCCGATCTCGAACGGGCTCTCGTCGGGCCCGATGTGAAGCTGAGTCTGGACGCCAGTCGCGCTCGGCAAAGGAAGCCGCATCCAGCCTCGGTCCAGCTCGAGGGAAGCGAGCGCCGTGGGCGCCCTGCTGCCAGCGAGGGCGACAGCGTAGAGCTTGCTCTGCGCGTCGTCGAGAGGCCCCCAGGTGCCATCGAGCTTGACGTTGCTGAACTAGTGCGAGACCGAGCTCTGGACGTCCTACTCCTTGCAGATGAGCGGCGCGGCGACTTTGATGACAGCGGGACCGATGTTCCTCTTGAGCGCCTCATCAGGAGGCCGATGGGTTTGAGGGGTCTTGTCCGCCAAAGCAAGAGCGGCCTGCAACTCCGCCCCGTGGTCGCCAACGGTGGTCTCCACAACCTTGATGCGCAGCGAAATGCCGTCGAGCGGCGACCGGAACTGCTTCTCCATAGCATCCAAATCAGGCCTGAGAGCAGCAGAGGAAGCAGCCACTGCCGCCTGCGGGGCGCTCTTGACTACGAGCTGTAGTGCATCCCAGGCGGCGCCAAGAGGATCGACACCTGCCTTGACGGTATCGCCAGCCACGGTAGCGATGGAGGACAGGATCTGGCCGCGCTAGTCCTTCAACTGCTCCAGGACCTCGGCCGCGCAGAGGGTGTGGATGTGCTCGTGGAGGTCGTCATCGCGCCCGTCATCGGACTCGGAGGGGCCGTCAGCGCTGCACCGTCGTGAACCAGTAACATCAGGGTCCCCCATACGAGCAGCAATCTCATAAGACCGCGCAAAACCTTCTTCCAGGGCTGCTTCCCACTACGCTCCTTCTTCACCTCGGGACGAACAGGCATGATACGCTGGAGTCTAAGCGAGACGGATCTCTTGGCCTCGCGGGGGAGATGGTCCCCGAGGTTGCACAGGACTGCTAGCGCGCTTGCCGAACCGCTTCCTGGAAGTGGAGGGGCGGCGACCCCCAGCCGAGACTTCAAGGGTGCCCACCCTCCATCATCTTGGGCCAAAGTGGCCAAGGAGGTGAAGGAGGATAAGGAGGAGGAGGAGGAGGAGGAGGAGGAGGAGAAAGAGGAGGGAGGGGGCGAAACATCGCCTGCAAAGGGCGCGCGCCGGGTGTCAGCGAGGCCTCCCGACCGCATCCAGGACCTCTGGCGATCCGATTCCTTCAACCAGCGGCGTCCATCCAACTCGGCCCTCGGGGGCCGCGTTCGAGCCCCGGGGTCTTCGAGAGCAGGTGCGGGACGAACGACGAACTGCCCCCTGGGGAAGCGGTCGGGGCCTCCCTGGGGCTGTGGACTGCAGACACGGACGGGCGCAGTGTGTCAGGTCCTGGCGCTCGTTCTTTTTGGGGGGCCCTCTCGAGGCTTGTGCTCGCCACGGCTGGCTCTGCCTCGAAAGCCTGGTCAGGGCGGAAGGGGCCCACGGACCGTGAGCGGAGGAGGGGGAGGAGGAGGAGGAGGAGGAGGAGGAGGAGGAGGAGGAGGAGGAGGAGGAGGAGGAGAGGAGGAGGAGGAGGAGGAGGAGAGGAGGCGGGAGGAGGAGGGGGGAGGAGGAGGAGGAGGGGGAGGAGGAGGAGGAGGAGGAGGAGGAGGAGGAGGAGGAGAGGAGGAGGAGGAGGAGGAGGAGGAGGAGAGGAGGAGGAGGAGAGGAGGAGGAGGAGTGAGGAGGGGGAGGAGGAGGGGGAGGAGGAGGAGGAGGAGGAGGAGAGGAGGAGGAGGAGGAGGAGGAGGAGGAGGAGGAGGAGGAGGAGGAGGGGGAGGGGAAGGGGCCCCCCAGGAGGGGCCCAGGGACCGACCGTGAGCGGATCGGGGCCCGGCGGGAGCGCCGCCGCTGCCTCAGCTGGCCCTCCTCAGACCCCACTTGGCGACCAGGAGAGAGGGCGACATCGGACCGACTGGGCGCCGCGGCCGCTCCGGAGCGCCGCAAAAGGCTCCGACAGCGGCCCGGGCTCTGGAGGAGGAGGAGGAGGAGGAGGAGGAGGAGGAGGAGGAGGAGGAGGAGGAGGACGACGACGACGAGGACGAGGAGGAGAAGGAGGAATTGGAGGAGGAGGAGGACGAGGAGGAGGAATTGGAGGAGGAGGAATTGGAGGAGGAGGACGACGAGGACGGGGACGAGGAGGAGGAGGAGGAGGAGCGCCGCAAAAGGCTCCAAAAGGCTCCGGATCACGGCTCTGCTCACCGTGCTGTGGCGCGAAAGAGCTCACCCGCACTGCGAGCCCCGGATGGAGGCACCCGCCCGACCAGAACGTAGAGCCCACGCCTGCTGCAGCACGCCATGCTGCTTGCTATCCCGGCGGCATGGCCAGACCACGCCCGCCCGGGCGCCTACACCGCAAGACGTTTCAGCGTGCACGCCGGGCCTGCGGGAGGGACGCGCACGTAGCGCAGGCATGCCCGAGCCCGCCGGCAATCCCAGGCTCGGTCGGGTCTTCACCAACGGAGAGCAAGCAACGGGAGGGGTGAAGGGGTGTGCACCTTTCGCGCCCTTGCTGGGCCCGCGGTGCCAGTTTAGGAGGCCATTCGGGGGCCTCTGCAGGGCAGTGATACTTCAATCTTCAATCCCCCGACTCCTAGTTTCTAACATCTCGCGG